ACGAGGGCTACGAGCTCATCGGAGAGGTCATCATCAGCTGCGTGCCCGGTCACCCGTCTCAGTGGAACAGCCCGCCGCCCTTCTGCAAAGGTAAAAGTTACCATCATGTCATAATTATTATTACATGTTGTGACTGTTTTTAATCAGGGAGCAGAACCAGAACAGTCTCATGAAGTCTCTTCGCTGTCAGATTAGCGGCGTTGTTCTGCTGTTACCTGTCTTCAGTCATAGATCAGCGTTAACACACTTTGTTTCTCCTCTCTCTCACAGTGGCTTACGAGGAGCTCCTGGATGACCACAAATTAGAAGGTGATTTATTTTTTCGCCTCTTCTGTTTGTGACGTCACTAAAGTCATTAAAAGTTTGTTACGCAGAGTGTTTGAAACGACTTCATGAAGCTCTGACTTAGAAACATTGGCACCATCTAGTGGTGGTTTGATGAATTACGCTCAGATAGATCTGCATGTTTTGTGTATTTTTTTTTTTACACTGGATCATGTTTTTTTTTACAAACAACAAGTATACCTGCTGCATCGTAAACTTCCACATACTTGCAACGGCGCTGAGACATCATGGTGCGGGTGGTTGCAGACTCGGTCTATTTACTTTTCTTCTAAACTTTGTGGCGCCGTTGTTGTCATTTCCGGTCTCATCACCGTACAGCTCTACACTGCTCCAAGTGGTTATATGCATATTGCATTTCGGGGATACATAGCGTTACTTTCTGAGGACAACCAACGCTCCAAACCACCGCAGGAAACACACATAAACTCTGTTCATAAGTGATTAAATCAGGAGTGGAAAACATTTGAGAAAATTGATAACCACATGATGTTCTTTCTTCTCTCTCCGGGTTTCTGAAGTCGAGTTCTTAGAAAACGCTGTGATGAAAATGTTCTTTAGTGGTGATGTTTTTATTTTTATCCTCTCTCAGTGTCTCAGTCGTTCGAGCCGTCCCATCAGATCCTGAGTGAGAACATCGCCTTGGCTATCATTTTGCCGATCATCCTGGTCATCCTGCTGATCGGAGGAATTTACATGTACTATACAAAGTGAGTGTGACGTCACCGTTCTGTGTGTGTTTTCTTCCCCTGCACTGTGCACACTGGATTCTTTATGTGTCGCTCTATTTGCTCTCTCTCTCTCTCTCTCTCTCTCTCTCTCTCTCTCAGCATATGCAGACTAGAGTGGAAGCCGCTCTTCTGGAAGTCTCTTTCTCACACACACTCCTACAGTCCCATCACAGTCGAGTCCGATTTCAACAACCCTCTTTACGAGGCGGGGGTGAGTAGAAAACAAACCCTTCAGACCTTAGACTCATTTCTATCAGGGTTCATGTGGACCCATAAAAAGTCTTGAATTAAATATTTGAGGTGGGGTTTTTTTTATACTAGTGAGAGGTCTTAAAGGTCCAATCAGTGAGATGTGTAGTGAGTGAGATGATAAAGTGAGCTTACTATATGATCAGACATTAATGAAACATGTTGAAGTGCTGGTTGCTATGACAACAATGCAGCAGCCAGTATGTCCTCCTTCTAACTTTAGATTCTGGTCCTGAATGCTCTGGATTTGTTTGGACCAGAGAAGGTAGGCGGTTTTAAGGCACCTACACACGGCCGTTTTGGACGCCCCTCGGTTTGCCAGATATGAGAGCAGTTATCAGGTCAACAGGTGTTGCAGTGATGGAAGCGGGCAAGAGAAGTGGTTCAGATAGAAGTGATTGTACCCGACCTAAAAAGCCTCTGCATGTTTCTAATAAGCTCCACGAGTAGAAACGTGCTCAAACTAGGATCAATATTGGAGATGCTTTTGAAAAATGGAGAGAGGTTAGAACGCAGAAAGGTTTACAGACCCATGCAGAGCTGGCTGGCTGGCTAAACCCCTCCCCCAGGTGGGTGACACTCCCACAGCTAGGTGTTTGTTCTGCCCTCTGAGTCTGCCTTCTCACCGTAAACAATAGGACATGGAGCGAGAAAGCATCGAGTACACCCAAGCCCTTCCAGAGAGGGGGCGTGGTCAGACACAGCTCATTTACATATTTAAAGATACAGACACAGAAACAGCCTGTTCTGAGCAGGGCTGAAATTGAGGGGTTTATAAACATGATCAAATACAGGATCAGAGTGGATTTAGAACAAGAAACTTCACACACATGATTTGAGGAGCTCTGAGACTTATTTAAACTTGTTGAAGAGGAGGAGGATATGTCATCTTTAAGATGAAGAATAAAACTGGGAATTGTTGCAAGATATGAAAACTTTTAAAAGTAGGCTAATGAGAATCAGGAACATTTAGTCTCCATAAAGTACAATACAAAAATGAGTTGTGATTTTCTCTGTTTGGGTCTTAAAAAGTGTTTTTTGTTTACAATGTTTTCTAATTGATTTCTGTCTTCGCCCGCAGGACACACGGGAGTACGAAGTTTCCATTTAAAGGAGAAAAACGTCTCGTGAGAAATAAAAACCACAGAAGGATGAAAATCTTTTGGGAAAAAAAAAACTAATTTCGTAGTATTTTAAGGCCTCACTCCCCCTTTGACTCATCCGTTTATTTTCATGATCGGTTTGAACATGTTTTTTTTTCTCTCAGCTTTCTGAATCGTGGCAGTGTTTTATTTTTGATCTGTTGCACTGATACGGTCAGCCAAACGTGGGTCCTACTTCACATCCGTCTGTGTCATCAGGACCGGTGCCTTACCAAGAGATTGACAACAAAGATGAACAGCGAGGGATGGGAGGCGAAAGAACGGGAGGGGGGAGGAAACGGGGGGAGGGGTGACGGGTGGATGGATTTATTCGTTCAGTAAAATTATTAAGAGGCCAAAACATCTGAGAAGTTGGCAATACTTACAGAAGTTACGATCATGACCATGCGGCACACGCTGAATGTTTTCTTCATGTTTATATTTTACATTTTACTAAACGATAAAGTACGGGGGGGGGGGAGAAAAGTTTCTAATCATGAGTCGAGTTTTAGATCAACACAGTCGTTTCTTCTTCTTCTTCTTCACTTTGTCTTTCTCTCTGTGTAACACACACACACACACACACACACACATGCACACACACACAAATTGAATGTAAATATCTGACTTAATATTGATGAGGTTGATATAAATGCTAAATGATATATGAGCCTCATGTATACTCTTCTACAAGGTGTCGGGAGGTGATATATTTTCATTATCTGTACGTAATGAAAATTCAGTGCCAAAATATAATGTTGAATAATTTAATGTCTCTAAGTGTTTCATCTGTTGTTGCGATACTGTTTACGAAGGCAGTGTTTATTTAATTCTCCGCTCTCTCTCTCTCTCTGGCGTGCGTCGTCACCCAGCGTCACGCGTCACACGTCACGTAGGACCAGGCGAGGACATGAATGTCATTCAATGCTTAAAGCATGCACTGATTGTAAATTATATTGCTTCTGCTCAATCTCGCCATCCACCGTCCTAGTTCCGGACGGTTCTCATTCTTATCAGATTCGATGTTGTATGCACTATGTTGATGAAAATTACAAACTTTGGCTGCTTGCTGTGATGCATTACGTATTTATTTATACCTGATTGTCGAGGCGGTGAATGTCGGGTCATTCACTGTGCCAAATGAAGGATCCTGGAGACTGTTGCTTTGTAGAATTACTTCTTCTCTTCTCATCAGTAGCATTTCTTTGCTTCATATATGAATACACTCTTTGGAAGGCAGTGAACTTAAATGCTGAACTGGAAATAAAGTCTCTGTTGAATGGTGTTACATGTGTACAGATGTGTTTTATTTCCTTCACATAACACACGCACACATTGTTTTATTTATTTTATTAATCAGGGGACATTGTGCAACAACGTCGAAAAAAAGAAAAATGAAAAGATGGTTGCACTCAGATTTAGCAAGTCGCTTATTTCCATCTGTACTGACAATAATATTAATAACTTTATTAACATAGCACCTTTAGAAACTAAACAATAAAAACAATTTAAGGATTATACGATGCAGTATACAAATGTTTCTATTATTTACTGAAAAGTTCACAGTGTCAATTACATTATACCATTGACCGAAGTGTAATGTAATGGACTAAAATAATGTATTCAAAATAAATTAATCTATTTGGTTTGGTACGAATCAAACTCTAGGTGTCGTTTCTGAATTCGTTTTGGATATTTTATTTTGAAAGTATTTCCCGGAAGCGTTCACTGCCACATTAGCGCCAACTTAACTGAGTTGTTGTTGCAGGACACGACTGTGACCACTAGAGGACAGCAACGACTCGTGAATTTACACCATGATTAACTTTTTTTTTATTGCATTGAGCAAATTTCAAAACATGTACAAGAAAATAATCAAAAATTATTAATGATGCTCCTTTTAATGTCAAAGGATTACAGTAAAAATGACTTGATCATTGTTTAATATTAGTACAAACAACAGAAACAAAATATATAAAAATGTATTTTTAAAAAATAGATAAGAAAACAGCATAAGAAGAAGAGTGAGGGGTCTGATCTGGAGTCAAAACATGTTTAGTTTTCAGCTTGTTAAGTTTGGATATATTTAAGATGTATTGTTGAGTTTATGAACTCATTTTATGAGAATTAAAAACGTGGTATAAATATAACTTTCATGTCCTGCGGGTTTTAGGAACACGCGGTTTTGTTCCACTAGGCGACAGACGCGTTACGTCACATCTTGCGTTGCACAGAAATGTAAACGCAGAAGAAGAAAAACAGCGGAAGCAGATGCGCTGGTTTCGTTTCCGACTGACCTATTTAGCTAGCTTCTCCTGTTAGCATCAGATAATAATCTTTATGCCCGACAATGGAACCGGTCGTGTGTAAATTAACGTGCTGCGTGTTTAGTGGCTAGTTCCTAAATATTCAGCGAAGAAGAAGCGATAGTAATATTCAGAGGAGGATTCGTGGGAGTGACGCAGAGCTAGCTGTTGTTAGCCGCTTTGATTTAGCTTCGCTGGCTGATGAGTTTTAAATGTATCTGTGCGCTTTGAGCTCTTCATGCTAGCTGATTGGCCCTTTTTAATCAATCTTTGACTGATTATTACATTCATAGTTTGCTCTCCTGGGTTCATATTTGAAGCTGCGTTTGATGTTCAGTGTGGTGAGTACAAACTATTTGATAAATTAGCATCTAGCATCTTTATTGTCGTGACTAACCTGTGTCAGTCAGTGCTGTCTCTTTGTGAGCTGACGATAGTTCTTGTCTTATTCATCGTACATTACGTTAAGGTTAAATTGATGAACACATGACTATATTTAAAGCTATGTTCAAGGTCCAAGATTGTCTGTATTATCCCCAAGTGGAGGATCATTAAAACACACAGACAACAGATTTGATTTTTCCCGATATTTCAAAACTTATTTTAGTCGATATCGACCTTTTTCAAGTGTTTAAGTCTCTCCTGTGTTAGAAACAATTTGACTCTTATTGTGAAAGTCTGTATTTTAAAAACAGACCTGAAACAAGAGAAGCAACATTTAACTGTTACATTTATTCTTTTTAATTATCGACAGTCAGTAATAAAACTGAGAGTCATTACATTTACATTAAATGCTAAATGTATTTTCAGGCGACTTTTTTTGTTGTTGTTTTAAAGTAATCACTGTCAAATCCTGCGGACAGACAGTGAGCTCTGTAGGAAATACACTAAGTGGAGCTCATACAGTACAACACATTTTAACTAGCTGTAGATCAGACCTAAAACTTCTCAATCAATCAATCAATCAATTTCTTATTTGTTATCTCGAGACACTTTGCAAAAAGCAGGTAAAAGATCTTACTCATTGCTATATTACAAAGAATGAATGAGGACTGAGACAAAAAATTGAGCTGAGGTGAGTCCACAAACTTAAAATACATCCCATGATAAGGTGAAGCATTATGGTTCATTCCTACAGTCTCCTGGATGTGCTGATATCTACGACCGATATGTTGGCCATACGTAGGAGAAATGTTCTGCCTATGCTGATATTATGCAGATAACATTGTGCATCCCTTAAAAAAGACATTAAGAAGTTAAAGTCTTATTTGCAATAAATTACAAGAGATACAAAACAGGTTAAAATGTAAACACGATCAATGATTTAAAAAGGTAAACGCAGCAGAGACATGCGAGTGTTTCAGTCTCTTTGTCCTGCGAGATGGCCGGATGAATCTGTAGATGGACAGAAGCAGCTTAAACTCTTTGAATAAATGATGATCAGCCAGGATTGACTGAAGTCTTCACTATGTACAGCTGTGTCAGGTCACTGAGGGGTCGAACCTGCAGTCTTTCACATAGCTTGATAATACCGTGCAATGTGTAAAGATTGCTTATGCTGAGTGACCGAGTATAACCCGTTAAAGCTCGTCCAGCTGTACAGAACTGTAACTCTTGCTTTGAGACATCTGGAGCCCTGTTCTCCTGAGCGGAGTGTTCAGCTGTGGGTTTCTTCTTTCTCACAGTCAGGAAGTGACTCCTCAGCTCCATGTCTGCTGAGGCTTCAGTTGGCAGTCATGCTGCTGACTCTGCCCAGCCTGATGTCTCCCAGCCTGCCTTCCACGACTCGGACCCGCTCAGGAATCGAGGTCTGCTGGGGAGCAAGTACGTCAAATTAAACGTGGGCGGCTCGCTGCATTACACAACCGTCCAGACTTTAAGCAAGGAGGACAGTCTGCTGCGGAGCATATGTAATGGAAGTACTGAGGTCACCATAGACTCAGAAGGTGAGTGTCTCAATCTGTTTCTTGTTATTTTTAGTATTAATTCTTGTGTTTTGTAGTGTGTCTATGTGAAAGGTGTGTCCACACTTGTTCTTAATATTTGGTGATGTTTCCCAAACAGGAGGAGGTGAAGATGAAACTGTGTCTGTTGATCCGCTCTAAAGTGTTCATAAATGACCATACTGACTTATCAAACATCTGGAAATGATTATTCATGATGTGTTTGTACTGTTCAGCTAGGACCTCATTTATCGTCTACTTTTTTTTAAAGGTTTCAAAATAAATACATTCTTCTGCTCTCCCAGGTTGGGTGGTTCTGGATCGGTCTGGCCGACATTTTGGACTGGTTTTGAACTTCCTGCGAGATGGCTCAGTGCCACTTCCAGAGGATCACAGAGAACTGGATGAGGTTCTCAAGGAGGCCCAGTACTATCGGGTCCAGGGACTCGTCCAGCACTGCCTCAGTGCCATGCAGGTAAACTGAAGACACAGATGAACTAGATATGAAAGTGCTTCGAGTCCCAGTTGGACAGGAGCCTCTCTGTGTGGAGTTTGCATGTTCTCCTCGTGCATGTGTGGGTTCTCTTCAGGTACTCCGGCGTCTCCCACAGTCCAAAGACATGCTCGTTAGCTTAACTGCTGACTCTAAATTTGACTGTGAGAGTGGCTGGTTGTCTGTCTCTATATGTCAGCGCTGTGATTGACAGGTGAACAGTCCAGGATGTAGTCTGGAAAAGTGGAATAGATAATGGATGGGTGGATCGAAACCCAGCTGAGCTCTTCTGCCCTCAGTTTGATCTTAGAAGAATACGTGCCCTTAATCTGAAAGCCTTATTGGTCATACTAAGTATAAGAAGAAGTTGCACATTAATTTCAATAACTGAACTTTCTCTCCCTTCAGAAACAGAAGGACGTCTTTGAGAGTGTCTGTCGTATCCCCATGATCACCTCGGCCAAAGAAGAACAGAAGATGATCGCCACTTGTAGAAAGGTAAAATAATGTTAATGATAATACATTTTATTTATATCGCACTTTACGTTTGAAGCACATCTCAAAGTGCTAAAATTCTGAATAAGTAGTAGTAGAGTAGAGGGCTCTGTGCCTCCTGTAGAGCCCTGGGGGGTCTGAGGCAGTTTGGGTGTCTGAGGTGTCTTGTGGGAGTTTGTGGGGTGAGCAGTTCTCTGAGGTCTGGAGGGGCATTGATGGACGAGTAATGAGATCTGATATTGATCCTGAGTGAGACAGGAAGCCGGTGTAGAGAGTGCAGGATGGGTCTGGTGTGCTCGTGTTTCCACACTCTCTTCAGGATCCTGGTGAATACATTAGCTCTCAGTCAGGAGCGCCGATGACGACGATGTTTGAAGCTAAGAGATCCTAACTGTGCGATGTACTCCCTTGTACCAGGTGTCATAGTTTCTCTGTACAGACGGTAAGCAGATGATTTAGTTTAGATCACCAGTCAGTTAGAAAAGTCTGCGGGGTCTCTTTGTGTTTCACTGGAATTGAAGATGTAAACTATGTCAGAAATGATTTTATTTTCATTATTTAACTCTTAGAGGACTTTTAAGTTGTCTCTTTTTTAAAATTATTTTAAAGGAGTAGAGAGCGTTCACAGCAGCAGACGGCCGCCTGGAGAAAAAAATGCAGAGTCTTTTTTACAACTACGCCTTTTTTGTTCGGCCTCTCCGAGCCCTCGAGTTGAAAATCTTTCAACTTTTCAGAAAGATCGAGATATAAACGATCCAAAAAAAAAAAAAATGCAATAAAAAGTAATGGAGCAGTGTCGGTCATACAGCGGCCGTTGTCCACAGACTGTTGTCATAGAGACAATGACGGACGTGCAGCGTTGCTCTACTCAGCGATCAAACGCGTCATGAAAGAACTCCGGAGAGCACAATCAGCGCTTTACTGTCCGGATGAATCGACTGCACGAGCCTCAGATTGCAGATTTACTCTGGATGATTTCTGTTTCTTGTCTTTGCAGCCAGTGGTGAAACTACAGAACAACCGAGGAAACAACAAATACTCTTACACCAGGTACGACACACAGCGTTGATTCTTGGAGTTTTTCAGGAGTTTTCTTAGAGTGTGAAAGTCGTGATCCTGTCATGATAAACGTTCAGCGTCTCGTGTTTTCCTGTCACTTCAACTTTCTTATTAAAAAACTAAGAGCGCTCTTTAATCTCCTCAGTTTGTAATCCCTTACCCCGTTGTCTCTCTGTGACCAGCAACTCTGACGACAACCTGCTGAAGAACATCGAACTCTTTGACAAGCTGGTGCTGCGGTTTAACGGCCGCGTCCTGTTTGTGAAAGACGTGCTGGGCGACGAGATCTGCTGCTGGTCTTTCTACGGCGAGGGCCGCAAGATCGCTGAAGTGTGCTGCACCTCCATCGTCTACGCCACCGAGAAGAAGCAGACCAAAGTAAGGATGAGGACGTTAAAGCCCTGAATGCTAAGATGTTAAGAAGTGTGTTTCTTTGGTTTCTGCTCGGGAGTTTAGCACAAACAGAAAACAGAACAGCAGCCTGCTGCTGTCGGGAGGTTACCAAATGTGCACACCAGCAACCCGAACAGATGTTAAGAAACACACATCTGGACTCTTTTAACATTTCCAGTCGTCGTGCTGGAAAACATTGTGTAACCTTTTGATTTTTACTGTTAGGTTATCACCTTCAGCACATTTTATTCCATCGTCCAGTCGTCTCCTGAGGGTTGTCACGATACCAGAATTTAAAACCTCACTGTGACAATAGTAAAAATCGAACAATAGGGGCGCTGGTGGCGCAGTGGTTAGTGCACGCGCCCCATGTATGGAGGCTGTAGTCCTCCAAGCGGGCGGCCCAGGTTCAAATCCCACCCGTGGCTCCTTTCCCACATGTCATTCCCATCTCTCTCTCTCTCCCTGATTTCCAACTCTATCCGCTGTCCTATCTAGCCCAAAAATAAATCTTAAAAAACAAAAAATAGAACAATATCGAGACCAGTTTCAATACCATGGCAAAAAAAATCAAAGTCATACCCAATATTGGGAAATTTATTTTTTACCTTTATTTAAAGAAGGAGGCGAACTCCTGCAAACTGTCAGTAAAGAAATGTCGCTGAGGTATTTCTGCAATTTTTGAAGGATTAATTTCTCTCCTACACACCGGTGTTATGAAAAAGATGTGTAAGCGTTGGTATGTTTTGATCCTATCATTATAACAGAGATATCGTTTTGAAACATGTGGAATCATGAAGTATTGAAAATAATGACAACCGTCTCTGTGCTCGTCTCCCGCTGACGACGTCACAGTCTGATCAAAAACACAGCTCGACACATTCAGCCTCAGGATTACTAACAGAGACCAGCAAACTATTGCAACATGTTCTCAAAGACGGAGAGTGAATTTCATGTAAAACATTTCCACTCAAACTTTAAAACAAATAAATCACCGTCTTTGTTTTTCAGGTTGAATTTCCTGAAGCTCGAATCTTTGAAGAAACCCTCAACATCCTCATCTACGAGAACAACAGAGGATCCGGTCCCGGCGGCCTACACCTCCTAGACTCAAGAGGCCCCGGGTCGTCCCTGGGAGCCGGCCAATCAGAGGAGGAGGGCGCCGTGGGAGGCGACCGGCGAGTGAGGAGAATCCACGTGAGGAGGCACATAATGCACGATGAAAGAGGGCCCGGCCAGCAGACTGTTTATAAGGACTAATAATGTGAAAAAAACACGGGACATGGAGGAACGTGTTCACCTGTGTGTGTGTGTGTGTGTGTGTGTGTGTGTGTGTGTGTGTGTGTTCATGTTCTCAGTGAATGATGTCCTCGATCATAGCAACGGCTCTGCACGTGCTTCTGTTCTGCACAGACGTGAGAGCTGATGACTGATTTGTAACTGAAGTGGGCGAGATACAGAGAGAGAGAGAAGCTTCAGTTTACAAGAAAGAAGGAAGTGTAGATAATAAATGTGTACGATCACCTGGGAGGTGAAACTGGAGGAGGTATTACTTTACAAAGGTGAAGGAACTTCCTGCGGGTCGCTGATCCGGGCCCCAGAAAATCCCCACCCGATTGGTTGGATTTCTCCCCGGAGCAGGCAGCCCCACTGTTAGCGTAGGAGTTTGATGATATGCACTGGCGACCTCCTCCGCGTTTGACTTGAAGGAAAAAGACGGCGTTAAACACCCGCCGCCTTTTCCTCCCGTCGCACCGCGGTCGGTCAGGTTTAGTTAGAAAACGTAAACACTGGAATCGAAGTGCGGAGGTGTGTTTAGGGATGAGTGAGATTGTTGAGCAGCTTAATTTTCTTTATTTAAATTATTACTGCTGTTGCTTCAAGATGTGTTTTTTTTTTTATTATTAATTAATTTATGAACCTAATTTATTGTCGGTATTTAATGTATTGTTTGCGATCTTTGTGCGACGCGGCCCCCTTGCGTGCATTTTTTAATCCTCTGAACGATACGATGCACTCGAGAGCACACGTCACATTTTTGACTCTGGACCCGGAGACGGTGAACTTTCATGTTTTTTTTTTTGGTTTAATGTTTCAACAGGACACCGTGACCATTTCTTTGATATTGCATTTTTTTTTTATTCTGAGCCATTATCTTCTCGTCACGTCTGATACCTGAAACCCCGACGTCCCCTCACCATGTTTTGGTCCGTAAAGTGATGATGGCGGCGGCGGCGTTTCAAACTGGGCGGTGTTTGTTTTACCCTCAGGGAGAGGACGAGTTTGTCCTGTCGTTTATTCACCAGTGTCTTGTGTAAATCTAATCACTCTCAATGAGGTCAATGTGTCTCTCACCTCGTTAGTAAAGTCACCTTTATATGCACTAACTGAACATCCGTCCTGTCATGGTCATGGGAATATTCTGAATAAATCACTTGTGCAATCCATCATCGACTCCTGCTCTCGTTTGTCTGCTCGTCCAGAAAGTTTAATAAAGAAATGAAATGTCGACACAGGAAAGTGTGAATGGTTATATCGTTGTTTTCTCGTCTTCTGACTACTCAAAGCGCTTTTATACCACAGGTCACACCTACACATTCACACACTGATGGTAGAGGCTGCAGACGAAGAAGCGGGAGAAACTTGGGGTTAAGTGTCTTGCCCAAGGACACATCGGAGATGTCGCTGCAGGAGCTGGGGATCGAACCCCCGACCTTCCGGTTGAGAGACGACCGACTCCACCAACTGATCCACAGCTGCTGACTTCATGATAACTTTTTAATGTGCTTACCTGAACTCCCACAAAACATTTTAAGTTATTCACACCACTCATAGTAGGACAATGTGTCTCGAGAAACCTTTTTAATTGGTCAAAAAAATATCCAAAGCCCCTGAGTGCAGGATGAGTCATCATACATTTGCAACATTTCACAGGAAGAGAGAAAACGGCTATTTAGATGTGAAAAAAACACTTTATTGAAATATATTGGCTTTTGACCACATTTAATCTGGTAGTTATTATGTGTTGTTTCTCTGTGTTCTTTTCTTATTACTTCTGTGAAAGGTGCTATACCAAATACATCTCATTATAGTTATTATATTTGGCAGATAAATGAAGAACATTTAACACAAGAACACTGGATTAAAACCGGGAGAAAAACAATTTCATGTCATGGAGACTTTAAATAAAATGCATGGTTGTATGTCTGCTTCGGGCTTCCGTAAATAAATGATCTTCGAAATGTATGAATTAGTTAAAGTCATGATGGAGAGTTTAATCTGAAGAAATGTTTGTGACGTCATAACTAATTATTTCTCTATGAACATCGGCGCATGTATGATTAACTCTTAGAAATCATTATTAATTAGTTTTATATGCAGACAAATACAAATCGCAAAACATTTCAGATTTGTTTTTGAAAGGGCTTGACGCTGATCTGACGTCACTTCCTGGTTCGTCCGCGGAGAGCCCCCCCCCCGCCAAAAAAGGATCCCGCACAGTTCAAAATGACGGTGACAGAGAAGCAGAAAAGAAGTATCCGCACTTTTGTGTGTGAGCAGCTCCGTGCAGAGACAGATTTAAGGTACTGTAGAGACAGGTTGTTCTTGAAGAAGTTTGTGTTTAATGTTTGTATCAGAGAGTCTTTATGTGCACCGTTTGAGTGACTGGTAACTGTTGCTAACTTTGACCTGTACACAGGTGTAAAAGACAAAGCCGGCAGCATGTACCTGTGTAGAAACGCTCAGTGGACACCTGTTTAACGTCGACACTTCAAATACTGCACTTTGTAAATCACGTAGATAACCAAATACACACGAGACGCAGATTAGAAAGGGTGCCATCTTCACCATAACACCAAGCTATAACCTTTCCCCTCTAGAAAGCGTTGTTAAAACTAGCTTTACTCACAGGTGAGTGTCTTAGTGGATGTAGCAGCTGCCAGTGAGTGGATTTAGATTTATCATAGTTTTAACCCTTTATTGTAATCGGACACCTAGTGGCTAAAATGGGTACTGCAGTCCAAATTCAAAACATTGGAGAGAGCTGTCTCTCTGCTCGTGGAGCTTATTAGAAACATGCAGAGACTTTTTAGGTCGGGTACAATCACTTCTATCTGAACCGCTTCTCTTGCCCACTTCCATCACTGCAACACCTGTTGACCTGATAACTGCTCTCATATCTGGCAACCGAGGGGCGTCCAAAACGGCCTACCTTCTCTGGTCCAAACAAATCCAGAGCATTCAGGACCAGAATCTAAAGTTTGAAGGAGGACATGCTGGCTGCTGCATTGTTGTCAGAGAAGCCAGCACTTCAATATAGCATGTTTCCTTAAGACTTAAGACTCCCTGCCTCTTGACACGCTTTGATGTCATCTTTGCATGTCTCATTCCAGCACACTGACCTTAGGGATTCTGAAGAAGCGATACCTGGCGCACACGAGATGTGACTCGTTAACGTCAGACGCCAAATCGTTCATGAAGCAGGTGGTCAGAGAGGAGCTGGTGAAAATGCAGGTGTCTGAATCCTTCCTGTACTGGTCATACTGTACGGAGTGGTAATTTCTGTCATACTCATTTTTTAATTCTTTTTCTTGCAAGGACGATAATGAAAAAGAGTTGGAGACCGGGAAGCAGCAAAAGAAGCGGAAAAGAGAAAAGGAGAGCGATGAGGAGATGAACGGAACAAAAGATGAAGCTGAGTCCAGGTCGAAGAAATCCCGTAGTCGGTTCAGCTCGTCAGCAGGTAAATACATTATTTTTGATGTATTTAGGAGCCTGTCGATGAACTAGTCTGCAGGTTGTTTTTCTTTGTAAAATATGCTGAACAGTCAGTAACAGTCCGACGACAGCTGCAGGAGGTTGTTTTTTTTTGCAGCAGCAGCAGCAGCAGCATAACATGAAAGATTTGTCTTCTGTTAGTGATGACAGAGTCAGATGATAAAGAGAACCTCAAAGCTGAAAGTGAAGAGGAAGAACGTGCTGAATCTGGTTCTGAGGATGAGGAGCAAGAGGTGAAGAAACCAGAAGGAAAGACAAACGGAAAGAGCGAACCTCCGATGGGCAGTGAAGCGTCTTCAGATGAGGAGGTGAACGAGTCGGGAACAAAAGAACAGGAGAGCGAGGACGCTGACAGTCCAGACGAAACAGACAAAAAGAAACCAAACGCTGCGAAGAACGATGAGACGGCGGGGGATAAAAGTCGAGAGGAGAGTGATGAAGAGGAGGAATCCGGCGCAGACGGCGAGTCAGGGAAGAACGCCACGGCCGACTCGAACGACTCCTCTGCTGACGGCGAGAAAGGTGAATGTGCAAACTGTCTTGTCTCATGATGTCAATGTTTCTTCTTTTGATGATCAGTGTTGTAAGATGACGTTGTGTTTGCAGGAGAAACTGCAGTGGAAAAAAAGATGAAGATTCATCATCATCGCCCTCTTCTGACGAGGAAGAGGAGGGTGCAGGAGACAATGAAAAAGTAAATAAAAAATATAAATAAAAAGAAGAATGTGATCGACTCCTCTGATGACAGCGAGAAAGGTGAATGTGCAAACTTTCATTTCTCATGATGTCAGTGTTTCTTTTGATGATCAGTGTTTTAAGACGATGTCGTGTTTGCAGAAGAAAAAACCTCGGTGGAAAAAGAAGATAAAGACTCGGGTTCATCATCGGCCTCTTCTGACGAGGAAGAGGAGGCTGCGGGAGACAGTAAGGAAAATAAAAAGAAGAATGTCAAAAAGAAGAGCGCCAATGTGAACGGCGAGGAAGAGGAGGGTGCAGTAGATGATAATGAAAATAAAAAGAAGAATGTCAAAAAAAAGGAGCGTGCCACTCATCAGAGGGTGAGCCCATGTGGAATCAAGTTTTGTCAAACCTTAAACATCCACGTTAGTTTTTTTTAAGGTCACATGGTTTCACTGTCCTACCCGTGCCTCACCTGATGGAAAACGCTTGTGTGTGTGTGTTTTTGTGTTCTTCCTGCAGGATGATGACAAAGCGCTTTCCAGGCTCAAGCGCTACATCACTCTGTGTGGAGTTCACCGGAATTACAAGAAGCTCCTCGGCGGCTGCAGCTCTGCTAGCACACGGAAGGCCGCTCTCAAGAAGGAGCTGGAAGAGCTCGGAGTCCACGGTCAGTGGGAGCCTCTGATATGAAGACCCCACATTCTGGACGTCCTTGTTACGTTCATGAGTCTCACTTTGATTTTATATTCTCAGCTCTATTGAAATGTAAAATCAGTTCATTGTAAGTGGTGAAAGGTAAAGGTGTATTTGGAACATTTGAACGAATCATGTCCTACTTCTGTTGTTCCCACTTTCCTCCTTTTTTGAAACATCAGCTGGAAAAATAAAAAGTGTGATTGGTTGGATTTGTTCGGCCTTATACATGGAAAAATAGAAAAAGGTTCCCAAAGTAACTTCAGTAGACTACACAGGATGTTTGATCTAAACGTTGTCTTTAAACGGGATCAAATGGAACTCTGAACTATGTGGAGAAACGTTCGTTTTTTGTTTTTTCCTGCAGGTACGCCGTCCATTAAGAAATGCAAAAAAGCTCGGATGAAGAGAGAGCAAGCGCAGGAGCTGGCTGAGCTCGACACCAGCAACATCATCACCACAAACGGTAACCTGGAGTTAGCTTCTCCAGTTCAGTCGTTTTTTAAATCCTGTTGTTTGTCAAGCTGGGTTTCAATATTCCTAAAGTCGAACATTTTAGCGTCTCTTATTTTTCCTTTTTTATCTCTACAAGATCAGCAGTCTCGATGATACTCTAATCTAAGAATAATGTCCAGTCTCTGTCCGCTGCTTTTCAATGCTGTTTTTTAAGAAGTGTTTCTGAAAGACGCCCTCCGTTGTTACCTCTCCTCTCTCAGGCCGACCCACGCGCAGAGCAGCTTTAGCGTGGCAGAAACAGCGCAGCCCTCCTTCAACTGTTCACGTGCGCTCTCTGAACTCGGGCTCTGACAGCGAGCAGGAAAACGGCGTCCTCAGAGGGGGCAGACGAGCGACGGACTGGGACAACCTGAAGGGGATCATCAGTGACGATGGAGACAGCTGCTAACAGCTTCTCCTGCAGGCGCCCCGATGTTCTCTGGATGTTTACATGTTGCTCTGATACCCAAGGTGCTGACACTATGAATGTTTCTAAAAGCTGTCGATGCAATAAATGTGTCTTTCTCCCTCTCTCTCATTTTAAAAGTCAAATGTCAGGGGAAGGTGATAAATTATTATTTTTTTTACATCTATGTTCTATATCTAATAAAAGTATTAATTGAACAAATTTATAAAATCTCTTTTGAGTGGTAGTCTCGTTCTTAAACGCACCACAGCAGGATGTCGCTTCAGACATGTTCAGTCGACATTTGAAAAGACGGTTGAGGAACGACGAATGACACGATGATGTTGGAGAGACATGAAGGACACTTTGGCTGGGCGGCTGTGGATCAGTTGGTAGAGTCGGGGGGTTCGATCCCCAGCTCCTGCAGCCACATGTCTGATGTGTCCTCGGGCAAAACACTGAACCCGAAGTTGCTCCCGCTGCTTCGTCTGCGGTGCGGTGTTTCCTCTACCATCAGTGTGTGAATGTGTAGGTGTGACCTGTGGTGTAAAAGAGCTTAAGTCCATTCACCATTGTATGAAATGCATCCCTGCACGTCGCGGAAAACTTTGGAAAACGGTATAGACATCTTGTTTCTGGTGGCAGAGATTTGATGACAAAGTATGTGAAGTGAAGTTTCCTTATTGTTCTGCAGACTCGTTAAAAGACAGATTTTCATTATCCTACGAGATTATGACCTGCACTAAGTGTTTGACTGAAGAGTCTGCAGAGGAAATTTCTGGGGTGGGTGTAAAATCCGACAGGGGGGGGGGATGCAATTCTCGGCATGACACCGGAACCTTTCTCAGTAAGCGCCTTACGAGTCTACGGAACATTTCGCGGACGGACAGGTCCGACCGGGTTATGTGTCCTCATGCACTGTTTGCATTCCTGCAGGTCAAGAAGTTTCTTTACTTTACGCATGATTTCGGATCATTTAAACGTGTTTGTGTGATTGTTACCTTTGTGTTTGGACATTAAGTAGTCACTAGATCACTTGCACGTCTTGTCCTAAGATTAAACCTTTGGGTGTAAATAAAAGTGTTTGCATGTGACCCTCAGCCTGTATTACACACTTGTGACACAGGAGGTTATTTTTACAGTTTGATCAGAGTGTTTAGTTTGGTGTCTTTATTTCATGTTTTGTTGTGTTGTTAAACAGATATCAGCTGATGACGTCATTAGACGTAGAGGACAAATAATAAATCCATGAACCAGAGACAGATGTTGTTACAACAGCTGCCGGATCATTGTTCTGTGTCCTGTGCCTCCAGAGAGAAACAAGATGGTCTGATTTGTTAATAAAGTTGATCTTCATACTACAAGTGCTGCTGGAGCGTTTTCACCTCTTCAAGCTGTTCACTCTTCATGCACCTTACCAAAGACCTGCTGATATGGACCAAGTCATATCTCGCTGAATGGAGAGACACACAAATATACTTTTTTTTTTATATATATGTTTTTTTTTCTTAAAGGCTTTATATGTGATTTTTTGATCCAGCAGATGTCGCCCTTGAGCACCAGCATGAAACCAAAACAACTCGTGCTGCATTGTTGTGTTAGCATGCTCATGCTAGCGATCTTTATTATGCTCGTATCTTCACTGCATGTAAATTTACCTGAAATGAGCGTATCTAGAAACACAGTTAAGCAGTGAGTACAGTATGTTATTCTTCTTTTCTCTAGTCCCTCAATTAAACAACTTTTATACGTGAGGGGAGGAGTCAGCCGGCCGTCCTGACGATGTAAACAAAGTGAAGATAGGACTAAAAAACTCTGAAAACATCACAGACAGTGGGACTCGGGTGTTACACCCATTGTAGACAGTCATGACTCACAGAGTTATTTTCAGAGGATATACTTGATTTATATTATATTTAAGTGTGAAAAATCTCAGATAAAGCCTTTAAAGAAACAAACAGTTCAAAGTCAAATCCACATGGTATGAATGCCAAGTGTAGCAGAGACACTCTTCACATCAGCCAGCTGCAGGATGTCAAAAAAGACCCAAAAAACTAAAAATTCCCTTTGAAAAAAACCCTTCTTTATACTTCCATTTCAAGCCGCCCCTGAGTCATTTTCGCCTTCAATCTGAATGTCATGGAGGCTTAATGGGAGACGAAATGTTCCCCCCTCTGTGACGTCTTCAGAGGGAGTAACAGAGGCGTTACAGAGGCGAGACATTTCAGTGGAGCCAGCGGGGGAGCACAGTGCTGTGTGTGTGTGTGTGTGTGTGTGTGTGTGTGTGTGTGTGTGTGTGTGTGTGTGTGTGTGTGTGTGTGTGTGTGTGTGTGTGTGTGTGTGTGTGTGTGTGTGTGTGTGTGTGTGTGTGTGTGTGTGTGTGTGAAGCTCCCGCTGGGCCGTCATTCCTCAACACCGACTCACAAACTGGGACACCAGTATAACGCTGTCAGGGATTCAATAAGAACATACAAAGATGTGCACTTTTGCAGAAAAAAACAATCTGAAATGGGCTTTAAAGGAAATATATGAATTTATCTTAAAAACTCGACATATCGTCCAGCCCTACTTGAACCTGTTCCCTGAGAGGTGTCGTGCATCTCTTTAATAATGAGTATAACATCGACCCCTGCTGTGTGTGTTTCATGAAGAAATGGACGATGGCACACCGGACGAGGTCTTTGCTGATCTGAAGTCAAGGGACCTCGGAGCATGGGGGGTCGCTCAGATAGCGGCCGGCACTGGACTCGCAGTTTATGCCATGTGGGTGGGAATCCTCCAGCCGGGCTTCAGAAAAGTCCCCTTGAGGCTACAGGTAAGGTTGTCACGACACCAGAATATCAAACTCAAGTATATGATACTCTTAAAAATCTAAATGATATCGATCCCTGTTTGACACCACGGCAAATAGAAGTTATAGGATAGGCACCCAATACGAGGTTGGTTATTTATTTATTTATTTATTATTGTGTTCAGTTATCACAAATCCTCTCCTGGCCGACATTTTTACAACATTTAGAAAAACTTGTGAGCCCAATAATAAATCTTTAAAAAATATTAAAAAAAATAAAAACTTGTGACACTGCTCTTCTTTTACCAGTTTTTGTTCATAAAGTTTTTAACAACGAAAAAAAAAGTAATCTAAAAGCTCATTAAGATTCTGTTCAAGGTGCCGTACATTCCTGCCAGCAAAGCTCAGGTGCAAAATGTAATGACACTGCTGAGAGGTCGAAAGGGAGGCCTGGCAGATCTGGGATCCGGTGACGGCCGCATTGTAAGTATCACGTGTTACTGTGTCTCCTTTTTCATGCACTGGAGAGAAACTGGTTTTAAAATGTTTGTTTTTTTAAAATCCGTTAGGTCTTAAAGGCCTATCAGCAGGGATTCACACCTGCTGTTGGTTATGAGCTCAACCCCTGGCTCGTGCGCTTGGCTCGCTTTTACGCGTGGAGAGCAGAGTGTCATGACAAAGTTTCTTACCGAAGAGAGGATCTTTGGAAGGTTAGACACTTCATTTTTTTTCTTCTGATAACCCCGGAGGATTCCACATCATAAACACGTTTCAGTCGTTGCATTTCTTTTTGGACTTTTTTTTTGTGTGCTTTCTAATTTGCATCTTTTCTAAATATGTTTCTTTTCTTAATGTAAGTCTTTAAGGCCGTCACTGAGCCTTTGCGCTTGTCAGCCAACGTAGATTATTGTATCTGGTGTTGTTGTATATTTTAAATCTGAACAAAGTTATCTTGTCTGTTTCTCACCACAGGTCGACTTGACAGAATGCAAGAATGTCACCGTGTTTCTGGCTCCGAGCGTGGTGAGTGAAATAATGACTACATGATGTCTGGTGAAATTTAGAGCATCTACAAAAAACAAGAGAGGGTGAGTATGTTAAAGCAAGGTGCGAGGAGGTGTGGTCAGGCACCTTAAGGCAACAGAGATTCTAGACTCTGTATTGAAACAGGAAACGCGTACACGTGTTTACTAAGTTTCATGGTTTCAAAAACATTTGAGTCATTTTACACAAATGTTGAACTCAAAAATCTAACTTTCTTCCACTCATATTATGAATTAAAAAAATCAGATTTCCCTCTAAAGCAATCTGTAAGGGCATACATGATGTGCATTTGCATATGGATGCATTGTTATGGCTTGATTTAAGTAGATTTCTATTTTAAAATATGGCACGCGTGGGGCACTGGTGGCCTAGTGGTTGTGTCGGGCGCCCCGTGTGCAGAGTCTGTGGTCCTCCTCGCAGCAGCTGTGGGTTTGATTCCAGCCTCTTCCTTTTGCTGCATGTCATCCCCTCCTCTCTCGTCCAAACATTTCCTGTCTCTCTTCAGCCGTAATCTCTGATAAAAGCCCAAGAAAAAAATAACAACCCATGCTTAAAAAAAAAAGAAAAGAAAAAAAAGAAGTCCCTTGTTAATAATGATTGTGCTCTTTTCTTCACAGCTTTCATTGCTGCAGGATAAGCTGCTGGCTGAGCTTCCCCGTGATGCCTTAGTGGTGGCTGGTCGATTTCCTTTCCCTGACTGGACACCGTGCCGGGTCGAGGGTCACGGCGTGGACAGAGCCTGGGCGTACAGCGTGAAGACACTCAGAGACAACTCGCAGAACAAAGACGAGCTCACAGTCACAGAAAGAGACGATGAACGTACCAAGGAGGAAGGATCCACTTAAAGCTACAAGGACGTAAATCCACTGTTTATCACTGTGTCTTATTTATTTTTGACTGAGTGACCTTTAGAAAACATATTATAAGATGTGAATATCCTTCGTTGGAACTCTGAGGACTTTTACCTTTAAATTAAAATCCTATCTTTTTTATCTTCAACTGGAAGTTATATTTCAGTGTTGCAGTGATCAGCAAATAGATTCATGTGTGTGCCACTGTTTTGAAGGATGAATTATGACATTTGTTAACTGACATGTTTGAACCAGAATCTCCTGAGTGAGAGTTTCTGTTAGCGTGGAAGCAATGCCACACCTTAGTCACTAAACTGGTATCACTTTGGGGGGAATCACCTACCTCAATTTCTCATCTTTTAGAGTTTAAGCATCCTTAGTTTATGTGTCTGTTTGACTGTCAGGTACCAATTATGAATGTTTCTATTATTGTTTTGTTTTTCTTAAGAGGCCAACATCCGTCCGACTGCTTCCAAGCAAATTTCAGAAGTAGAAATGTAAACTTTGAAGCTTGTGGATCATTGCCAAAGGCTGCCAGTTAATGTGAAAATGTCTTTGTTGTCAGTGCAGAGCAGGGAATGCGGCTCTGGACATCAATGACAGTGAGTGTTTTCTTCCTAACCTTACAGAACCGTTTGTAACACGTGTCAACCTCATGGGGTCTATATCGTAACCCTGTCTGTTGTTGTTGTCGTTTTGGTTCCTTTTTCTCTCGGTTCTCTCGTCGTGGTTGCTATTTAAGTAACGTCTTTAATGTATGCATCATGGACTGTGAAGTGTTAGTGCTTAGGCCCAAACACAACCGGCAGCAGCAGCAGCAGCAGCAGCAGCAGCAGCAGCAGCAGCACTGGTTTACAGCGACTAAAACTTTTCAGTTTTGTGAGCAGCCACAGATATCGATGACAGAGAATGCTGCACTAACGACTGCATTCAGGACGTCTTTAAAGATTTACTGAACGATCTCAGTACATCATGAGTCACCCCTCAAGTATTTGGTACCTTCAGGACTCCGTTACCAAGGCTTTAGGTGTACGAGTATCCGTAATAAGCTCTCTATCCGTCTGACATCAGTCACACTGCTGAACAGCAGATAAACCTGACCCCTGTTGAATGAGTCCATGCACACTATTTAACTTGTTTTCATTTATTTTTGAGTGTTTCAGCCTTTCTTCTTATATTTGTATTTATTGCGGGTGTTTTTGTTTTTTAAACCTTTGCAAATGGAGATCAGTCTATTTTATTGTGTTCAGTGCATTACATAATGAGTTTTTATGGTTTTCCTGTTTTGTGTTCTGCTTTTTTATTATAATTGGCACAGAGCTCTGTGTTTCCTCTGCACTGTAACCCATGGTAATGACATTTTCCACCTGGGGGAAACTGAAGTATATCTAACCTGATCTCCATGAAACATCTTTAAACTGCATGTTTGTAAGAAAAGACCCGGTTATGTGTGGAGAGATAATGAAGTATCTCTAAGAAGTGTAGAATTCATACGATTGTGTAATGTTGTCTTGAAGGTTCTGAAGAGAAAAATACCTGAGATGTGGGGTTCAAAGGTCAAACAGACATCACAGGGACTACACACCTGTATTACAAAGATATTTCTTTGTTTTGATGAAGGCATGCGTTGTTTGTTTGAGAGTGTAACTAAATAAAAAATAATTCAGCCTTCTGGTGTGCAGATAATAATCTCTTTTGCTGTCTAGATGTTTCCAAACGATTATAAACCATCAAATGTACAACTTACAAGCCTACATGAGACAATAGAGCAGTGGTGAAAAGTGCAAAAAGACACTGAAACAGAGAGGATAATAAATTATGAAACAGGTGGGTTAATTCACAGATAGTGAGTTAGATTTTTTTTTTACAATGTTTTTATTAAGTCAGTGGACAGAAGAGGATTAGAGCCAGGCCTGAGAAATAAATAACACGAGGAGGAAGTCATTTGGACACATTTTGAGAAAAAAAGTCAAAATGAAGAGAAGTAAATTGATTTGGGGAAAATTTGAGAATGAGGTTGAAATTTCACAAAATGGTTTTTCAACTTTTTGACTTTCTTCTGACCTTTTTTACTTTATCCTCAAATTTTTATTTCAGTTTTTTTCTCAACCTTTCGATTTATCTATTGGCTTTTTTATTATTTTCTCCACACATTTTGACTTTTTCTCTCAATATTTTGACTTTTTCCTCGACTTTTCTTCCTCTGCATTTCGACCATGGACTTTAAATATTAAAGGTGCAGTATGTAGTTTGGGTTGAGAAATATGAAAGTTAGAGAAGTGTACAGATTCTGTGGTATATGTTCATAACTCTAAACACAAACTGTCCTCAGAGACAAATTTGGTCCCTGTGACTGTTTCAAGATAAAATGAAGAAATGAGAAGTTATGGTGGGGGGCCCGCAACAGTGAAACCATAATTCTCCTGGTAGTTATGAGCTCTAAACAGTGTCCAAGGACCCATTTTCTCCTTTGACTAAAGTTTGTGTAATAAGTTCAGAAAATATAGCTTTCAAACTTTCAAATTTCACTATCACATCTACACAGTGCACCTTTAAGGTTTTTATTTTATTCTCAACATTTCCACTTTCTTCTGATCATTTGGACATTATTCTCAAAACAATAACTTTATTCTCAACATTTTTCCTTTTTCTCGACATTTTTCTACTTCTTTCTCAAAATGCATACTGAAAAAAAAAAAATCTTCCTCCTAACATTATTCATTTATCATGTCTAATCCGCTTGTGCGCAGATTGATGAAATGTCCATTCAAATGAGAATTCCTTTAACATTTTTCTTACTGGTTTGTATTTAGCACTCGTCAAAATAAATCCATACTTTGAAGAAAAATAACCGGAGATCGTGTAATTATCACTCCGACTAACTTGACACAAGGCTGCTGTGATTGGTTGATTTCTGCAGCCAAACCGGAAGTTGCGCAGCAGACCCTGTTACTAGCAAGCTAGCTGAATCTCTGAGCCGCCCTAAAGCATTGAAAAGAGGAATAACAAGAGCAAGCGCGCATAGAGTTAATATATTTAGCGTGAATACAAATCCGCCAGGTGTATATCTCTGCGGTGCATATTCACCCGCTGTGATATTACAACCGGAAACGATAAGTTGTCGTGACTGACATGAAAACATGTCTACTTTTGACAGCTACCGTTAGCCTTCTTCCTTCTACAAAAGCTACCACAGTTAGCCATCCGCTGCAGCGTTAGCAACCCGGACAGTTAGCATCCAAATGCCTCTCACTCAAAGCTAATTAACGGTGCACATTTCTCCGTGATATTTGTGCCACAAAATCAAATATTCCTAATGCTATATTAATATAAAGGTGAATATAATTAAGCGACGGACCTCACGGTGCCACTCGGAGGAAACTGAGTCAGTATTTAAGGGCTGAATGCTTCGTAATCCACGCGTTTCATGTGAGCGAGATAACTTTTACTCTGTGTTTGAGGTGGTGATTTTAATCTGAGTGAACGACGCCACCCTCCGCTAGCTGTCTGCTTGCTGAGTGTCGACCTAAAGCTAACCTGTCGACCATGATGAGCCCCTGCGGTTACACCTCAGCTAACGTAAGCTAGGTGGCTAATGTTGGCTTATTGCTGTAGCGGTTAATAACGACGCTACGTCCCGTGAAGAAAGCATCAAAGCCGGCTAAACATGGTGAGTATAATAACCCTGTGCCCAGTCATGTATGCTTTATTCCTATCCCTATCGTATCTGCAAGAAGCGATCATGGTGCACCGAGGTGGACTCGTGTTCATCAACAGGAAGACCTCCGCGCTGTGTTCATAATCAGAATAATGCATTGTTTTCCGTGCATGTCGTCGTGTTTGGTTGCGTGCATGACGGTCCTGTGTGTCTGTTAGTTCATGCAACGGTTTGCGAGCAGGCAGGTATTTGGTAAGACTGTTTAAGCCTCTGCACGGTCCGAGACGCCCATCTTACAACACGAATATTTCCTTTGAGATGTGAGCCCCGGCAAGTTGTGGCTTATTTGAGGAATTCAGGCCCGCCTGCTTGCCTGGCTGCCGCAGGAGCTGCTCTTTAACATCTCAATTCGCTATCTTTGTCTGGGCTAGGCAGGGCCCTAATACTTCCTGTACTTGTCTGACTGTGGTACTGCAATTGACATTTCACAAAGCGAGTCCTCCTGTACTTCTCGGTTGAGCAACCGTTGTAAGTGTCGTGTCATATTTATTGCCATATGAGAAGGTGAGATTGCATTTGTGAACTGGACAACTGCGCAAAATAATATCCCCATGACACCATGCCAAAACGTTAAAAGAAATCATTGGCATTTGTTGTGAGCAAAGGTCGTTGTGTGCAGGTATGTACATATGGAGGTAAACTCTCTGAACGACATTTCTTAGAAAGATGAAACATGTTTACAAGAACGAACTTCACCAGCTTTAAATCAGTTCACACAGGACTACATGTTAGAGTGAACTTCATGCTCAGATGTGTTGAGGAGATACTTGAATGCCAATTAGGGCTGCACCGTAAATCGATATTGCAATATGAGCATGTGTGATAAATGCATCAAAAGTCTTAATTTATCGCAATGAATGAGATTTTTAAGAATGTAAACAAGCAATGCTTTCTGACTCAGCATCCGTATATTTGACCTTTGCATGGAGGCCTTCAGCAGTATAATGGCCATGCTGTCATGGTCAGATGAAGCTTAAACTTTCAACTACCCTCAGATGAATCAGGGCCAATTCATAGCTAAAAAAACAACAACAACAACTTCTGTTTGGATTTATTTTGAATTCCTGGCAGTCATCCGACAAACACAGACATTTTGTGAAGCACGAAGAACGGCAAACAGACAGAAAGAGTGATTGCTGTCAGTCAGTTAAAGCTCATACGGATTCTTTCCTTTTTTTTTAAATTTATCGCAGTGTGAATGCACACTAAGGGTTTTTCTCATATCGTTCAGGGATACGATTTAAAATAGGCTTCAATTTCAAATAAATAGAAAGATTCAGAAGTTAGTTTTCATTTCCAGGCCTACTTTAACTCAATGTATTTACTTGGATGTACTTCCTGTTGGAGATGCACCGATCCACTTTTTTCAGTTCCGATTCATATGTACAGATACCGATACTGATTCCAATATTTTTATTATCATGACTAATATCGTTATTGTTGTTGTTGTTGTTTCTATGTGTGAGGCTACACAAAGCTGCAGTTAACCTGGCATTGTACTGTGCGGGCTTCACATGCAAACAGGAAGCAGCAACAACTGTCAGGTTTTTCAAATTAAATGTTTAAAAATTGTACTTTAGATCATCTAGAAGGAGCTTTTCTGTCTCGTCTAAACCACGTCATGGAGACAATTTGTGGACTTTTCGGATAGGATGCGTGCCGCTCTCAAGCCCATTCATTGTGTATTGGGTTGCTCCGCACAAGCGCGCATCTCCTTGCCGCCGAGTTGAGCGCAGCGCGGGGTCCTTCACCGATGCATTGTCTATGGAAGCCCTCAGTGGATGTTCATCACCAGGCCACCACCCCTAGCTGATAAACCTAGGGGACGCACTGGAGTTAATTCTTTGAGGTCTCGAGAATAGGACCAAAATTAACTCCCTATGACTGTAAAACCAGCGTTGTTATCCCGAGATATATTAGTCGGGATCCAGTAGTAGACTTCCCTGTGAGGAATGCTCCCATGGATGGAGTCAGGATGAGTCTGCAGTTGAGCGTCTATCTACCTTATGACATTTGTGCTATTCAAATCTTTTGGTCACACACTCAGATGCGGGCCCACGTGTGATTCTTTATGAGAAGATGATTGTGACCAGAATAGATCCCTTCAGTGGTGTGAATATGTAAACAGACTAAATGTGACTAAACAATTTTTGTTCTCCTCTTTACCTTGTGTTATTCTCTAGGCTTCGGAGGAGTCATCACTGCGGGCACTGGAGAGCCTCATGACTGAGTTCTTTCACAGCTGCACTACCAATGAGCGAAAAAGAGAAATAGGTAAGTCTGACGCAGTAAAACCCTCCACGACTGCTCAGTTCTTTTTACACAGTTCCCTCACATCTGCCCTGGCTGGTCTAAAAATCATAAAATACGATACCATGCACTACAGTGCAGGTTAAGCTGTCTCTGCAGGTTAGGGACTTCTTGTGAACTGAAATTACCTGCTTTCTATTTGAAGTGGTTTTTTGTTCACTTCCTGTGTTGTGACGCATTTCTCTCAGCTTTTCTCAAGTGAAGTTTTTCACTGACAAGTACCTCACTTCCTCTTTTCTGCAGAAGAGCTGCTAAATAACTTCGCTCAGCAGACCGGAGCGTGGCGCCACTGCTTGTTCTTCCTCTCCAATACTCGGAATGAGTATGTAATGATGTACAGCCTCACAGTATTTGAAGTAAGTGTTTTAGAAGGGAGGGACATGATTGGACTTCATAGCACTGAAACTGAGGTCCTTCTAAACTCTCATGGTGTTAAATTTTAACAGTACACCAAGAAAATGTTGCAATGAGATCATTCTTCCTTTTTCTTTAAATCTTAAGTTCAGCCCAACAAGTTAATTGTCTCATTAAAATCTTAATATATCATGCAAGAGGCAGACGGCTGATCATCATGTGACATGTTTTCATGTTCTGCCATCCTTATCTAACATAACTGTGTTTGTAGTATCCTCTATTACATGAA